GGGGATAAGGACGTGAAATGCTTGGTATAGGAGAGAGGAAGCGGACCAGACCACAGCACCCGCCAACCGCCCAGTGGGTGTAGGAGTGACCAGCCAGTGACGACAGTTGGTGGGTGTTGAACCACGTCAGAGGTGAGCTCGTTCTGAACACGATGGCCGGCCCCGTCACGTCACACCGAGTGCCCAGAGCGGGTGGTTGGTGGGTGCTCTATCCGGCGCGGTTTGCTCCTTCTTGCCTATCAGACATCTATCGGTGGGTGGTTGGTGGGTGCTCTGGTGCGGTTTGCTCCTTCTTTCCTATCGAACATCTATCGGTGGGTGGTTGGTGGGTGCTCTGGTGCGGTTTGCTCCTTCTTTCCTATCGAACATCTATCGTCCTGATCTCTCCTCCTTTTTTGCTTTTTTGTTTGTTACTCTCGTGTAGCACCTCTAATCTTCGGCACTTATATTATGACCTTTATTGTGTTGCAAGTGCCATAAAATTCGTAGGCTACTAAAACCAAACAGAATCCGTGGGTGGTTGACTGGTGCTCTGGTGTGTTTTGCTTCTTCTTTCCTATCAAACATATATCGCCTTTATCTCTCCTCCTTCTTTTTTATGTTTGTTACTCTCTTGTAACACCTCTAATGTTCTGGCGCTCATATGACCTTATGCAGTTGAAAGCGCCGTAAAACCTCTACTAAAACAAACATAAACAGAATGTCTTTCTTTCACTCGTTATGTGGTTCAAGTTTTAATGTCGGAATCTTTCTTTCTCTCGTTCCTTTCAGCAACTGGAAGACAGAATGACCCACGACTCCTCCTCCGCCTTCGTCACTCCCAGCCCGTCCCCGGAGGGCCTTCCTCCCGTCCTCCCCTCCTCCATGCTCACCCCACAGTCCTCATCGCCTTCCTCCTCCTCCTCCTCATCATCGTCATCATCTTCATCTTCCTCGTCCCTGTCCTCGAAAAGCTCGCTGAGCAATAAACGAGGCGTGAAGCGACCACGAGCTGGCGATGGGAGGAACGATGATGATGATGATGACGACGGCATCAGCAGCATCGATGAAGGCCTCCGTCACCACCACCACATCCTCCACCACCATCATCATCATCACTCACATCGTCACCGTCATCATTTACGTGACGTTCCAGACGATGCCAATAACAACGTGAAGAAAGATCGCAGAAGCCGCTACCGACTGCAAGAGCAGAAGAAGGAGGAGGAGGAGGAGGAGATGGAAGATGGGGAGGTAGAGAGGGAGGAGAGGGAGGAGAGGGAGGAGTCGATGGCTGATGACGAGAGACTGTCCAGCTCGGACCTCCTGTCTTCCACCCCAGCAGACGGCAGACGAGCCCGGGGCCAGGCACAGCATACAGCAAGTGTAGCGGGAAACCACGCTCTCTCCGCCCTCCCCAGAAGGAGCAACAAGCCGAGACGCGCCCACCACCACGCCCACAACAACCCCGCCCACAATAACCCCTCCCACCATAACCCCACCCACAACAACCCCTCCCATCCTCAGCCCCGCCCACAACCCCGCCCGCCACCTCCCACCACAACGAAACTCACCCCCAGTGCTAGACCCCCCCGGAGTCAACAAACACCAGCCCTCCTCCAACAACGACACCCTCCCCGCCCCAGAACACTCTTCTTCTTT